AATCTACCATTTAGTAAGATTTAAATAGTCAAAGTATCATATTTTTCACATTTTTACAAAAGTTAACTTATATGCACTCTAACTGTTTAATGAAATGCATAAACTAAATTACCATGTAATATTCACATATGAATATGTTTTCTCACCCAAATCAATATGTAAATATTGAAACACAAAACAAATATGAAAGTTTGTATGTTATTTATATGTGAATAACATATAAAAATTATATATATTTCTAAAATCACCTTGTAATATTCATATATGAATATATTGTGCAATATTCACATATAAATATACCAACTGTTATTTATAAGTGAATATACGATCTAATATTCACAAGTAAATATAATATGTACTATTCTCATGTGATGTACCATGTAATACTATATAATATTCACATATGAATATATCATATAATATTCACAAGTGAATGCATCGTCTAATATTTAAATATGAATATATTATGTTTATTATATGGTATATTCATATATGAATGATACCTAAACTGTAAAAAAATAATAATAATAATCATACTTTTTATTTATAAGTGAATAACGAATGTACTGTAGTAAGAAACTGATTCGTTTTTATTCAGTTATGAATAAAGAAAGCTGAAACTAATATATATATATATATATATATATATATATATATATATATATATATAATATATATATATATATATAATCTTAAAACTATATGTCTATTTATAGAGAATAAAAAATTATGAATTTTGATATATTTAAAGTTATTTTTTGATAAAAATAATTCTTTATATATATATATATATATATAAATAAAAAAAATAAAAAATAAAAAATAAATAAAAAAAAACTATGTTTTTGTATATATTAAGTTAATAATTAGCATAGTTTAGTTTGTTGGAAAACACATGTACATTCATTTCCCATTTCCGCCGGTACGTTGGAGGCTTTTGCGGTAAAAATAAATGATTAATTGAGAATGATTCATCTATTCTCAACCTTTTTTCTCTCTCTCTCTCTCTCTCTATATATATATATATATATATATATATATATATATATATATATATATATATATATATATATATATATATATATATATATATATATATAATTACAAAAAAAAAAAAAAAAAAAACTAGTCTTGTCAAGAACAAGACTTCTCCGAGACCACTTTAGTTTTGTCAATTTCCCCTCTGTTGGGGGCGTGATTTTCCATGTTTTTTCTCTCTTTAACATTTCCCTTATTCTTTGAGTTAATTCTTCTCATTTTACCTAACATTATACCTTTAAATCAAAACGTACAACAAATGTGGTTTTAGGCTTACAAAAATAGTATCGTAAAATATAATTGTGTTGAACGTATCTATGCACGCACACACGTGGATGTTTTCATAAAATAAGACTCGATGGTAACTTAACAACCAATTAAGATAATGTATATCATACTCCATTTCTCTTAGTCAACATAAAGGGGGGAAAAAAGACTTTGAAACTTTAGCAAGAAAATAGTACTGTGAAAAGAATAAAAGTGATTTTAAAGTGCAGATGCTAATTCCACCGACTTTTTAAGGGCTGCAAGAAGGCTTTTCATGATTCTTGGCTCCCCTGGAGGCGACCTGTCTTTCATCGGCCCCTCTCTGATTGCTCGGAAAACCGGCGTTGAACCACCACTCGCCGGGATAACCACACAGTCTATGTACACAGGGACCTCAGTCACTCCATCCCCAATTGTAATGAATCCAAGCCTTACCCCTCCTTCAATTTTGTCCACCTGTTTCACATACACAATGCCTATACTTTGAATTTGAACTCAAATGGACCAAATTTCCTTATAAACGTTACGAATTTTATTGAAAATTTAAACTTTGATGATTTTAAGAACTTGAGATTCGAAGCTTCTATCTGTCTAGGGCTTTTGATATGCATTGGTCTTATAAGAGATCGGGTCGGACTCGGTACCATTTGATACCACAAAAGTATATAGTCTTTTATATGTTTGTTACTGGTCTGATAAGTCTCAAACAAAACAACTGTAAGTTTACAAATTGAAGGTTGATAACTAACCTTTAGAGGCATAGGAAGTGGTAACTGGGCACCTTGGCACAAACTGTTCGCCCACTATAAACAAACAATTCACACAATTTTGAGATCGAAGGTTTTATAAATATGCGAGAGATTTATGTCATCTATCCCTATCAATTATTTCGATTTTTGTAGGCTTCGTAATTCTATTTCGGTGCTTTTACATCTTTTATAAAAAGGGATACTATTTAGGGTTGTTCACTATTTGGTTAAAACCGAATTATCCAATCGGACAATTTGGATTGGACTATTTGGTTCGGATTTTCGGATTGATTTTAAGCTAAACCGAATCATTATTTTTGGATTTCGAATTGATTTTGGTTTATAAAATAAGAACTAAATAGTCCAAAAAAACCGAATAACAACTTATTATTTATTTTTAATATATATCTTTAATCATTTATAAATTTACTAAATTATTTTTTTTATTATTAGAAACTTCCAACAAAGATAGTACTTTATTATATACTTCTTATCAAAAGTTTTTTGTTAATGAAATATTAAACTACAACTAATTTTTCTTAATATTTGTTTATAAATTATAATTCATAGCTAAAAAGTTTTATTTAGTTACTTTTTAAAAGCTAGCTAAGATTTAAGTTATACAATATTTAAAATGTCTTGCCTCTTAAAAACCGAATTGTAAAAACCGATCCAACCGAACTGTAATTTGGTTAAATTGGATCGGATTTAAGTTTAGTTTATGACTATTTTGATCCATGTTTTGAAAATCGAAATCCATTTGGATTTACTTGATTGGATTGGATCAAACCGATCTATCCAAACGAACGCCTTAATACTATTGATGAAATAAAATGATGTTAGGATGATCAATTTGACGATGTCATTTTTACACAAATAATTTCTCCTTGTAAATAAGTCAAGTTGATTTGTATTTTTGTCAAAGACCAAACCATTACTTGACCATGAAGGTAGTGATTTGGCCAATGTTACTTATGAATACGTTGATTTATTGTTTTCTAACGAGTCATGTATAAAAACTAAAATTAAAACGGGTCCAACAAGTTAAAAGTCAACCAAAATGTGTAATTTTGCTTAATGTATACAACTATTATATTTAAATTATTCAAAAATTTAATTATGATATATCGATATAGTTTCAAATAATATTTTAACATGTGAATTATTTATAAAATAAAGTCCGACATTTATTGTTTCGGGACACCTATTGTTTTAGTCACTACATTATTATTTTTTCGATTTTTATACTCCATTATTTTTAGTTCCAACTCAAAGATTATATTTTTCAATTTTATTCAACATTGATCATTCCATCGTAATATTTTCGGTTGTCAAAATTCGTTTATCAACATTATTTTTTTATATATTGTTTTTATAGTATAGTATAATCTTATTTTAAATATATTTTTTCTATATACTCATGTTTCCTAACTGTTGCATGTGAAAGTTAAAGTATAATATCGTATCGTCCAACCATTTTACTGGAATATATTTTATTTAACAAGTTTTTTTTCTTTAATTTGTTTTTATTTCTAATTAATCGTTTTGATATATCTAGACCAAACAGCTTAGAATGATAGTCTTGTATCACCAATGACTATATTGTAATAAACAAAAATAGGAATCCATATCCAGTATTTGGTTAAATAAATATCGACATCTTCAATAAAAACCAACCAATGTATAAAATCATACTATAATATCAGGTATATACGAAGATTATTTCTAATGGGAAATAATAACAATTTAAACAAACAATAAAATTCATTAGGTAAAGTCTATTCAATTAAAATAAAATGTTGAGCAAGAGGATTATTTAAAAATTAACTTAAAATCGGTAAAGTTTTAACATAAAATAGTTGGAAAACACCATTACATAAAACTAAAAATATATAAAATAGAAAATAAAAATTTATATTTTATAAAAATAACATAAATTTTAAAAAAATTAAAGTTGACATTTGATTTTTTTTTTTTTTTTTTTTAAAAAAAAAAAAAAAAAAAAAGTAAAAAATGACAGTATAACAATTTCCGCCGCATGTCATGTTAATTTTCAATTCCAGCTCGGTATGACAACTAATAACTGAAATAGTAGGGATAAAATGGTTAACTAAAAATAAAATTGAAAAATATATGATATTGTCGTAGAACAAAAAAAATATAAAATGTTAAAATCAAAAAACAGTGATAATGTCGTGACGTTTCAGTTTTTGGCGCATACTTAAATCTTCTACAATACGCACCTGAAAGAGTAAGGTTTCAAATCTGTCGATATCAATATTCATAGGTAGTCTCATCGTCCCCAAAGACACTCCTTCATCATCTCCGGCTGAAATACTGTTACTGTTCGCCGGAGAAGCTCGAGGAACAACACTATCGGAAAATTCACGGGCTAAAATCAGTCTCGAGGCCCGATTTTTGCTACTTTCCGATAACTGAAATCGAGAACAACCCAGCAGATCCGACGAAAAAGAAAGCTTCGGGCTAACGACTGTTCTTAGATGCAGGAAAAGCTGCCTGCTACATACTGTAGCCATGGCCGGTGAAGTAGGATATGGTTTGCTTCGTTCCTCCACAAATATGGGGGTATAGATAATTGATAGAGTGATTTACATATATAGTCCTTCAACTATCACATATATGATATTTCAGTCCCTTAACTTTTAAACCATCGTCTTTCTCATCTTGATTTGATTTTAAATATTGAAAATTACGTGTAACGTTATCTTCCATAAGTTTGTTGCAATCGATTCGGTTGTCTTATATGCATCCTACATTGCTGATATATATTTTTTTATATAAAAAAAATCTAAAAAAGGTATAGCCAAAATATAAGAAACACGTAAGATTTGAAAGATGTGAGATGTTAAGATACAAACACAGCGAAAGCAAACAAACAGAATGAGTAAACACTCAAAAAGTATGTTGGTGTTGGTGTTGGTGTTGTTATGAGGAAGAGAGAGTGAGAGCATCAAGTTTTGGAATGAGACTTCGCCAAGCATCAGCAATACCATTTGCTAAACGCGCTTGTCCTTTTGCAAATTCATGAAAAGCCAACCCCATGTCTTGTGTTTTCTCATCTTGGAAACGAATGATTTCTTCATTCATTAGCTTCACAATTGTCTCAAATCTTCTCGTTGCTTCTTCACCATCAGCTTTCAGCTACATGTGTTAAAATATTTCAATACAGACATGACTTAATCTGTTAAGCTATATTAAAATAGAAACCAACCTCCTCGTATTCATGCTCTGCATCTAACATCTTTTCGGATCGAGTTAGCCTCAATTTGTTGCTATAATAGAAACAAATGAATGTAAGATGCTATGAAAAAAAACTAATAAATGAAAATATAGAATAACGGAAATCATACAGATCAATTTCTTTTAGCTTTATTGTCTCGCTCAATTCACATTGTTGTCTGAAAGCATTAGCCCTCTCTCCTATGGTCCCCTAAAAAAAATCAAAAAATATATATAAAAATGAAGGTCTACGTATTTGGTCAATGACAAGGTTTTAAACTACAAAACTTACCTTGATAGATTGCACTGCACGAACGTAATCTTTCAATGGCTCTTCAAAATTCATTAAAAGATGGTGGGCCTTCACAATGACATGAAAAGTAATCATCAATAATTTTTCAAATACTTTCGACTTTTATTTTGTTATAAATTTTTTAATGTAAAAAAAAAATAGAAACTAACTTCTCTTTGTAGTTTGATTGATAGCATCTCTGATTTTGCTCCAAGCTCAGAGAAAGCAGTCCCAAGAGCATCTCCTTCACAAGCACCAAGGAGTTTGATTGCCTTACCAAAATCTGATAGAGATTGCCCCAACTCTGTAACAAGAATACAGAAATCGTGTTAAAAAGACATAAATGCCCTTCACATCATCAAAGATTAAATACCTCTGTGTCTCTTTACTAGACGATACGCATGCTTCTGGGCTTCAGCTAAGTGATCTTCAAGCTCAAATATATATCGTTTTAATTTCTCATACTCTGGATTTGTTTCTTCAACTGGTTTTTCTTTCCCAAGAACTACATCACTTACTTTAGATTGAACATCCTGTAACATCCATAGCATGATCTTAAATTATCTGATAGATTATGCATAAGTAAAATACTTTCAGTTGCTTTTGATTCAATGTTATGTGTTACCCTGAATATCTGCATTAAATCAGCTGGCTTCCTCTTGAAGATTCCAGTATCTTGTGACCTTGCTCTTTCCATCGTCTGCAAAACACCCAACGTGTTATAAAGATCAAATTACATAAATGAAAGTAAGAGAATTGAAATATATATATATTGACATATTGTATAGTTACCTGTTCATCAGCCTGCAAGAAGGTTCGAAGGTCCTCACTGTGTTGAAGTTCATGATGTAATGCAATCCTATTGACAAATGAATCCAATGCTTGACGCCTCATCTCTATGAATTCAGCACTGAATCTGAACTTCTCTGCATTTTTGAGGTCATTGTTAGTGATCAGAAAGCCTTTTTCCATATTTAAAGTGAATAATATCAAATAAGTACCACAAATAAAGTAAAGGGAAAGACTGATATCTTACCTACAGTGCTCTTTTCTGGAAGTGGAGGAATGAAGATGCCTTTGTACTTCTTAAAGAGACAATCTCTTAACCAAACAAAATCAGTATAACGTCTAATAACAATCTTTTCTGGGCCTTGATAGTCTGGAAAGTTAGTCTGCAAAACATGCATTTGAATGAAATGAGAGTGATACTGTTGTTTTGATGAATCAATACAAAGTTATAATGGATGGCGTCTGAATATGTTCAATGTTATTGCAATTCAGGATTTCTAACTAGTAGCTTCATCAACTAATGACTTTTAGAGGTCTTTGTTTTCTGTACTGGTTTTTGAAGTTGAAATGAGAAACTAGCTCATGACCTAAAAGTTCACTCAATTGAAACACCCAAGTTTTGAATTCAGTTCTGAAATAGGTTATCTAAACCAATCATTACATGAATTGGAATGAATTCTATCCCCGGTCAAATTACAACTAGCGATCAATATGTCAATAGTTGCAATACATGACTGAATATGTAAATTTCAACAAAATTCAAAAGAGATCGTGAAATTACCTTGGTGATGACCTTATAGGAGATATAAGCTTGAACTCCATTGCCCATTTTAGCAGGATCAGTTACAGATACTGATAAAAACGGAGGTTGCGAAGATGGGGATCTAGGGCTCTGTAAACCCCCTCCTCCTGTATGACTTCTTTGCTGCATGTTTGTCGAAATTCAATCCAATTAGATAGTGAACTCATAGAGATTGATTAGATACGGGTATTATTTCAAGATTGTAGTTACCGTTGTGATCATGATTTTTGTTGCAATCGGATGTCAGTGGTAGAGATTTGGTCTGAAACTGAGTGAATTCGTCCAGAGTAAAGAATCCGATCGCTATGATAAGGAAGAGTACGGCTATGTTGCTTCAACCCTGATGATGATCCTTAAACATTTGCTGTAACTCGCAAGTTCTTAGACGAAATCGATGAAAGTCACAAGGTTTCTCTTTCTAATTTTTAAGATAAATATGGGGTTTCGTGTGATTTTGATTTTTTTTTTCAGATTAAAACAGTTGGATTCTTCAAGGGGGTGTATGTGATTATTTATCTAAAATTTTCTTACTATTTTTTATTAAAATCATTTAAAAAGCTAAATTAAGAGATTTTGGGAGAAATTAACTTTTTATTATTAACTGATTAGTTGTGATTAGTTGTGTGATCTATGTATTAAATGATTTAATTTAAAAAACAAGGTCAAAATATTTGAGAATTTTGAATTTATAAAAAAAATAAAAAAAATAATGATTTATTATAATGAAAATGTTTTTTATCTTTTAAATTTAAACATATAATTTAAATAAAAAAAACTAATGAATTTTAATTTTGGGAATTTTGAAATTAAAAGATAAGTTTATTACTCAAATTAATATCAATTTATTACTATATTTATTGTAATTATTACATTAAAATATTATATGGAATTTAATAAAATAGAAAATTTCATAAAATGACATATAGAAAAAAAATTCAAAATAACCACAAAATAACATTTGATAAATTGAATGAGAGTGTGACAAGTAGCAAAAAAATCTTCATTTATTAGAGATGATAGGTTATAGCTGTGTGAGAAAACAGCTTTTACAAAAGTATTTGGATTAGAAATAAGCTATAAGCTATAAGCAATGGGAGAATTTTTAAAAGTAGTTTATTTAACTTATTTCCACCACAATAAATTGATTTTTTAATGTTTCATATCCAGATATTTAAATTTAACTTATAGTGGTGGGGATAAGCAATAAATTATAAGTTTTCTTATTTTCCCTATCCAAACACCCTCTAAATATTTATGAAGTTTGAATTTAAAAGAAAAATATTAAATTATGAAAATTAAAGTGTTTTTTTTTTAATTTAAACAAATAGTTTAGATAAATAAACAAAGAAAAAAATGAGGCTTTAATTTAAAATTTTTGAAATTAGAAAAGAAAATTGATTAATGAAATTAATTGGTATGTATTTATTATTACATTTATTACATTTAAATATTATGTGAAATTTAATAAAAGGGAAAAAACCATATAATGAGATGTGGAAAAAATGAATGAGAGTGTGACATGTGACAAAAAAATATTTTTATTTATTAGAGTAGACTATGTATGAGACTCGTAAGTTAAACATAAAAGGATGAAACGTATTTAATGCAACTCATTATCATATTTATTACATTTAATACATTACATATATAAACAGAAGTATTGTGTTGCTTTTTAAATTTAAAAATTTTAAAAATCAGAACTTGATATGTGAATATTATTTATTTCTAAAATACCATAAAATTATAAGTATCAAAACTCATGAGAGATTGATATATGGCAGAAAGAATCTTTGTTTATTAGAGTGGACTATGTGTGAGACTCTTAAGTTAAACATGAAAAAATGAAACGTATTTATTGTAATTTGGTATCATATTTATTGCATTTAATACATTGCATATATAAATATAAGTATTGTGTGGCTTTTCAAATTTAAAAATTATTAAAAAAACACAATTTGATATGTGAATATTATTTATTTTTAAAATACCATAAAATAACAAGTGTCAAAACTCATGATAAATTGACATATGGCAGAAATAATCTTTGTTTGTTAGAGTGGATTTGGTGTTGCTAATAAAACCAAGGTTAATAAAATCAGATTCTATATAATATCGCTTTATGTTTTGTAATATTGTAATCGTATTAGACTATAATTGGAAGATCCTATCAAAGTTATTATTCATCAAATTTGTTCGTAAGGTTTTGTTTGTGCGGTACGTATTATAACTTGATGTTAATTAAAATGTTATTATCATTGTAGCCCGACTATCTTTCGTATTTTGGTTTAGATGGTCCCTCGTAACTATTTTTTGCATTTAAAGGGCTTGTACTTGTATTTTACCAGTCATTTTGGTATTTTACCCACATTTGAAGGTGAGACTATTATTATGTCGAGTGCCAAGTAAGTGGGTGAGCCAACATTGGGTCATTGACGAGTCAACTTGTCTTCCACCTAAGCCGATAGTTAATAAATGCATTTAGTTCTACCAACCCACCAACTTGTAACGTCCGCAACTACGGGCTAGACATTTAAGATATAATAGATGATAATTATAATATAAATCCTCGAGTGGGATTATCATTAGTCGTGCACGTTGCAGACTACGTATTATAAAGTCATTTTAGTAATTTATAGATAAAATATGAAATGGAAATCTCGATAGAAGATTATTTAAGACAAATAATCTTGACGGAAAATGTAAGAGTTGCGATATGCATCCTGTACATATAAAGCACACATAAATCTGACTTCGGATGTAGAAGTCATGGACTTCCGAAGTTTCACGATCAATAAGTGTATCGTAAATAGTGAATCGGAGGTAGGTTGCTTATTATTCTAAGTAATCTAAACAAAATGTGTGGTAGTCATAAAAACCAAGAGCATGCATATAAAGAACGCTCAAATCTGATTTCATAACAAAAAGTTATGATTTTTCAAATTTTCAGCGCAACAGTATGCAACACTTTGAATGTTAGCCGAAACAATCTAAACAATAATCGGAGATCTCGTTTAGAAACCCGATAATATAAAGACAGTCGAGAACGGACGTCGGACGAGAGAGTTATGAATTTTTAACGGATTTTAACAGTATAAGCTTGTTAAAAATATAACTTTAAAAATAAAGTTAAAATTAGCCGACAAGGTCCATATGAAAGTTGTAGATCTCGTCGATAGCTACGCGTGAATATAAAACCCGTCGAAAATGGAACTCATATGAGTAAGTTATGAAGTTTCTAAGAAAACAGAAATTCTCGCCAGGGTCGGTCCAGACGGTGGGCAACCCGAGCGACCACCCAGGGCCCACATCTCTAAGGGGCCTAAAATTTCTGGGCTATGTAGTGTGTGTGTGTGTGTGTGTGTATATATATATATATATATATATAATTGTTATCTAAATGATTTTTAGGGCCTAAAGTTGCTTCAAACTTAAACTAGCTCAAAAGATTTTAAAAAAATGGCTTGCTTGTTATTGTTAATTGAACGCGTTTACAGTGCAGAATAAGTGATATATATTTTTTAATCTTTATTATATTTGTCTTTATAGGTTCTTTTTTTCTTTTCGCCCTGGACCCCGTATATGTTTGGACCGACCCTGATTCTCGCATGCAGCCATGCGTACAGACAGCATGTGCGCTGCGCACTGCCACACCACCCAAAATATGATATGTGGCACCATGTAGAAAGTGACACATCACCTCTTCGACCAGATGCGCGTTGTGCGCCTTATCTATATGCAGCACACACTCCAATTTAGCCTATATAAGCCTTCAAAAATCAACTCTTTCATCACACCATTCTCCTAGATTCTCTCTGGAACACCTTCCACCCTTACTCCCTTTTTTCCTCCTGAGTTTTCGACCCCTTCGGGGAAGCCCTGCGGTGTCAGATAGCCAGTAAATAGAAGCTCCTGGGTCAGAGTTCTGCCCACGCAATTCCTAATTTTCACTAGATTACTTTGTAAGTTAAGCTACGCTTGTTATATTTAAATGTAACTTTTAATTATATTCATAGTCGTTATTATGAACCTATAATTAAGATTTATCAGTGATTCCAAGTCACTATACTGATTGATCTACTTATGTGAGTGAAGTTTATGCTGGATTTAGTGAGGTGTTTACAGTGGTATTTCCAAACAGTATAGTTTGTATATCAAATGGACCCTATCTCCGATATGATCCTACCTGGTTATTCCTTACTTGATAGATCTTGATGTAGACATTAGGAATATCGAGTAATCTAGACCATAATTATTATAGTCGCTAGGAATTATGAAACTAAACTAAGGCTTAGTGCTTTATATGTCTAGGACTTTTTGGAAGTGTGAAGCGAAGTGCTGCCGAAATCATCAGTCACCCATTTTATCAAGTGAGTGCATAGTCTCTTTCATGAATATGATTTAATACAAGTATTAATTGAAGTATTAAATATTTTTGGAAGTCGTATGTGAATTATATGCTTATTACCTGGATATATATATATATATATATATATATATATATATATATATATATATATATATATATATATATATATATATCGTGCTATGTGTGAACTAGATATGGTTGTATGTTATGTTAGGAATAAATAGTTAATACTATATAATAATGTTAGAAGTAGTGTTGTTGAGAAGACAAATGAATAAGAATACCTAATACTTTGTATAGAATATATATATATATATATATATATATATATATATATATATATATATATATATATATATAAACACACTAAAGATAGGTTAGTGTCACCCAAGAATAGGGTTGGTATTAGAAGTTGATTACAGGCATCATAATCTAGTCTAGGGATAAACTTAGACTTATAGAAGATACATAGTTTAATTAAGTTTGGCATTGGGTTGTCTCATTAGGAGAGTGTGTGTAAGTTAGTAATAGAGAGTAGAGTCCTGTTCCGTGACACTTTCAGGTGTCCGTGTATGGTAGCTCCGTAGCAGAGTACATATCAGTATTCCATCATGGGATGAACAAATATTGTAACGCCTCGATTCTCAGGTATTGTTTTAAATAAGATTTCTTAGGTTAAGCCCTACTCGACGAGTTGGTTGCCCTACTCGTCGAGTAGCAGCGGGGTGGGATCGCATGTTAAGTGACCTACTCGACGAGTCCGTATTGGGACTCGACGAATAGGAGTTGGCAGATAAAACCCTAAATCCCGGGGTTTTCCACCTTATTTAAAGGAACCTTAGCCTCCCTTGGGCCTCTTTACAGTTCTAGAGAGTCCTTGAGAACCCTAATATGTGTGTGTATGTGCCCATTGTGTGTTTGAAGCTTGAAAAGAGGATCCTTGGAGGGAGAAGGCTTGGAGGAGAAGGAGATTGCAGCAAGAAGAGTGTGGGAATCAACACTTATCTCAGTTATCATCTTCTAGAGGTACCCAAATCGCCATTTTTCCTTGTAGATCTCTTCTATTGGTTGAGTTTAGTGTTTTTGTGGAATATTAAGTTGGTAA